TTCCTGTGGGGTCAGGCCCCCAGGATTTTATGGTGATAAAATCCTGGGCCTGACCCTCCCATGTATGTCCAGCCCCTATCAATAGTTGTGACTAATTCTCAGCATGGGTTCTTTGACTGTTTCAAACAAACAAGAATCACTGTAGCATTACTTTGCGGATTCTGTTGCATATGCCAGGTACTCAATTCGGAAATGATACCAGTATTGCGACCACTGCTCAAGAGGATCGTTTTGCTTGACTAACATTGGGAGTAATGCCGCTGCCACTCCTGCTAGTAACTCAGTAACTCTTGGTAAACAGGTTTTCATGTCATGAACACTGCTATGGCAGCTTCATATTGCCGTTTGTTGAGTTGGAACAATGGATACTACCAACCTCGCAGTGTAAGCGTAGGTCTCTTTGATTACTGCAAAGAGCAACGAATTCAATGTTACGTACTGTTGCCATTTCTGATGCATCATCCATGGTAAAGCCCACGCCAGTGAGCCATTCTCAAAATTACGGCGCTGTCGGGTTTCAAATATATTCCGGCATCTACGTAATATTTAGGGGTACCATAATGGGACCGTTTTTTTGGGAACCCCCCAGTGTTCCTTAACTAGCATTGCAGCCCCTATGGTGATCGCTGAAGCAACAACTTACTGTCATATAGTCTCCTGTGGCAGTGCTTGCTCTGACTGAGCAGTAGGCAACGCATCAAGTATGACCGTTACAATGTTCTTTTAGCATTTGTATTTTTGAGCAAATGTTTTCTTGTTGGCTGGGCAACACGCCGTTTTCTCTGTGTCGTTGCTAAGCCGCTTATTACTTCTACTTCTACAACAACAACATCATCTACTACTACTACTACTACTACTACTACTACAACATCATATTACAGCCGAAGGATAAGCCTTTCAGTTTCAGTGCTGTTATCGTCCATATGACTAATAGCGCTTGTCAATAATCTTGCTCAACTTAGGCTATCGCCACACATGGGCAATCATAAAAGTCCCTATGGTGAAATCTTGTGAAGATTAAAAGTTGAAAAGAACCTGGAGACTTGCCTTTATTTGGTCAGCTGGGTTTCTCTTATATCTTTACTGCTGAAGGGAGAGAGATGGCTCGCTGCCTCGTAGAAATGTATTTTTCTCGATCCTTTGGATAACGCGGCTCTTCGTGGACTACGTGCAGCTCGTAGAAGAAGAAGTTAGACTTTCCTAAGAACGATGTCGGCTTGGTTTCCCTTATCTATATTGTGGACCAGAGAGTACACAAAATTCCAAGAATGGAAGAGAGCTTTCTTTTTCTCCTTTAATTTGTGACTTCGAGTTGGCTATTGCTTTCTGTTTACCATCTTGCGTAGGGACCCGGAAGGTGTGGACAATTTCTCCAGCACTTCAATATCTACTGCCTTTGATTTTCAAGCACATCATTGGGAAAGCGGATCTTATTGAGTGACTTCTGGAATACAGCTCCTTTTTCAGTACTATTGGGAGACATTGAGGAACGCGTACGAGTTGATGCCATATTCTTATGGTGAGAAACAGTCATTTGGGCTTCGTTCTTGGTTTCAGAAGCAGAGATTGAATTGACAGAAATCCAGTACTGGAGAGCAAGGGCGAAACCGCGGAAATTAATAATTTGGCTCACAAAGTAAACCCTGTTCTAAACCAATTGCTCGGTTTAGGAACGGCAGGGTTTCTCATAAAAGAAAAATGAATTAAGATCCCCCCAAACCTGAAATTCTATTCATTAGTTTGGATCAGCATCGGAATTTGGGATCCTCGGATATCGGGACCAAGAAGCACCAAGACCAAGAACAAAGAAGCCAGAAACAACAACACAAAGCAACATTAGATGAACATTCCCCCCAGCCCAACAAAAAACAAATCTGTCACCATAGGTCTAGCCTTTGCCGAGCTATTTTTTCACGTTGCCTGTTTTTTTTGGTCATTCCCCGCATGAATGATCTCCGTTTGGTATACACTTTCTCGAGATGTATAGATGTACGTTGCCACGTGCCTTGACTGAGAGAAGTCCAGGACAGAAGAAAGAGGGTCTCACTTCTTTGGGTTTTTGTTAAGTGTCTGGAACGCTTGGAGCATTTCATTTTGGTATGGTCGACACATTTTCTGCCGTTGTTAGGCGTGCACTGCTCAGATATTAGGTAACATGTTAGACTGCCTTGTTTTTTCTCTGCGTGCAAGCATCTCTTGCTCGTCTTCGCAGACTGACAGCCTGCACTGTGCTCAGGTGATGATCGCCAAAGCTGGTTTGTTCCTTGAGGTTGCCAAGGGTGCAACTTGTGACACTTCCAGGTTGCTGGAGCCTCAATCCTTCCTACCTCAAGGTGATCCTGGAGCCTTTTTGATGCGACGTGTTGGGTGGAGGTCCAAATTGCTGCGTCAAGGTGCTGATCTTCAGGCTGGCGTGCGCTACTGTTGTGCACTAGCGTGATGCTGGCGTGAGGCCCTGCGTGGTACCAACATTCATGAAGCATGCCAGGCTCTGAATGGCGAGGGGTGCACCGTGCTGCTTTTGGCCGTGCGGGCCGAGGCCGCAATGCACGTGAAATACTTGAAAATGGAAATATGCCGCGAATTGTTGATTCGAGTTGTCTCAGACATGAGAGACGGGTTAGCTCCACATGAGGTGCCAGCAGGTAGCATAGCGGCAGCTTGCCTCTGTCTTTTCAATGAGTCCTCCGAAGAATACAGCCCTCAGTAATTAAGCCTTGGCCCGGTTACGTGCGGGCCGCTGCGTATACCGTGCTCACTGCTCACTCAGTAAATATCCGGCTGCGGTGGAGGCCCATATGACCCAACCAGGATGAAAAATCAAAAGAATATGCACTCACGATCTGCAACAAGACGACTTTTTCTACAAGCCCTGGAAAGGTACGACTACTGTGCCGTACCTACCACCTTGAGCTGTAATTAGTTTCACTGGGTACACTGACTTCGCCTCACGTCAGCAAGACACCTCACTGGCTTGTTTTGCACTAGAGGGCAGAGGGCTATGCAGCACCACAGGTTCCTGCAGAAGCCCTGAAGGTGTGTAGCTCAGAAAGCCTTGGTTGCTTGTGGTTCAAGTGGGCTTCAGTTCTCGATGTCCAAGTAACCGAACATGCTGAAATATGATTTGCCAAGCTGACTTCGAAGAGTGACAGCTTGCATGGCCGAATTGTCGCTGCTAGTGCCTCTTGGGTATGAGACGATGGGCTGTTTGGCTCTCAAGCACAAGCCTGTGCGCGCATCAGGCGCATCATGCCCACTTCGCACGGTTGACTTGGACACAGCGACACACGCCTGGCAGAGTGTATCTAGATTGTATAGATCTACCTCAAAGGCCCTGCACCTATATGTGCCAGACCCGTGAATTGCTGAACTGCTACTACAATGCCACTCACAAAAACAAGTCCGACTGGCTAGCCCGCTGGGGTAGGCACACGCCCGTGCAAGTAGTTGGAGCAGCCAAAGCAGCTTGCTGGATGGGGCTTCAGAGATGAGGCCCCGTCTGCGCTTACCTAGAGGCACAAGCTTTAAATGATTATCTTGTAGAGTTTCCTCAAGATCCCGATATCGGTTGGCGGCATTTTGTCGCAGAGCTCAGGTGAGCTATGGGCCAGGGTGTGTCGCTTGGTGAGGCCTCTCAGGAGTTGCTCAGGCATGTTGACAGACGTGTGCATGAACGTAACTTTCCACACCGCCAATCCCAGCCTGCTACAGCCAGGCGCTACTTTCTCCAGAAGGTCAAGCTGGGAGAAGGCTCTTTTGGAACGGTCTGGAGAGCAGTCGACAGGCCGAGCAGCGCAAAAGTTGCACATATGACTCACATATGAGTGAGGCGTTCCCAGCCTTTGCAGATTCATGATGGTTCATGGCTTGGCCAGGCAGGAGAACACGATTGTGGCTGTGAAGCAGCTGGACAAGGTGGGAAACAAAAGCTGGCATTATCAAAGCTGACGTTCGGTCCTCTTGGTAGGCATTGCTGCCCAAGCGTGGGGTTCGCCGACAAGACATCGAGCGGGAGATTGCAGTGATGAGGGCCGCATGCCCTTCTTTATTAGAGCCAGTCATCGTGGAAGCATGCGCCTGCATTCTGCATCTTCTGGTACTGCAACTGCACCGTCATCCTTCACGTGCAAAATTGTTGGTAGAGGGTTGTACAACATGGGGGTTTCACCAGTTAGCCCAGGCTGTCTCGCATCCGATACTTGGCTGCAAAAAGACGGTAACACATGTCGGTGGCATGCAGAGTCGCATGGTGCCATCTTGTGCAACACGAGGAATGTCACAAAACTGTTCGGCAGTTGGGAGGACTCTGCAAGCATCTTCCTTGCGCTTCTTGCTTTGCAATGCATTTATCATTTATCATCAGCTACGCAGCTGTTGTGCCAATGGTGCTGCATCCAACCCCTTTTGGCTCTGGCACGGCTGACTCTGAGGCTTGAATATTGTGACCTGGCGGAAGTTGAGACCTTTGGGCTGCTCAACGCAAGCATAAGAGTTTAGCTGAACAAGGCAATGGCGGCGACTTCGGAGACAAGGCTGACACAAATGCAAGCATCCAGGCTTTAAATCAGTATAGGTCCGGCTCCAAGCCTCGCAGGTGAGAGAGAAAGGCATGGAATTGGAAGAGAAGGTGGCTGCTGAATGGATGCTGCCTGGCACGACACAATGGCTGCAACATGGCAGATACAATTCTACGTCGTTAAACGAACTGTTGGCAGGTTTCAGATAGTGGCTGCCATCTGGGTGTTGCACAGCAAGAATATTTGCCATCGGGACATCAAGCCGGACAATTTCATGGTACATGATGAGGTGCACACAATCTCTCTCCACAAGTTGTGCTGCGCCGTGCGGCTGTAAGATCACCAAGCCAGGTCTTGAAGTTGTCTGACTTTGGCCTGGCCGTACACCTGCCGTTTGATCAGAAGCTGATGGAAAAGTGCGGTACTCCCGCCTTCATGCACCTTGGTGGGCATTGACTGCCCCGGTCAGCCATGCTCGGTTGAAGCCGTGCCAGCTTCAGAGGTCACCTGAACAACACCAACTGCCCAGAAGCCGAGGCTCCTTGACGAGCCAAGCATGAGGGATTAAAGCGAACGCTTACACAATATTGTACCATCTGGCGGGGAAAAACTACTGAGGCTACAATCATTCCTGTGATGTTTGGGCGGCAGGCATTACCATGCAGCTTGGCAGTGTGCGCATGCGTGTCCGCAATTCTACGTGCTGTGAGGCCGACGGCCTGTTGGCCCAAAAATCATGTTCGCCTAGGTACATGGTCATGTTCGCTGGCAAGCATCCGTTTCTGCTGCCCAGCCGCTCTTCTTCACTAGTTGTATTTTTTTGAAGAGCAAAATGTCAAGAAGCATGCGCCGGTAGGCAGGGCGATTAAGAGCGGTTCCGGCAGATCGTCAGAGGCCAGCAGTTGGATGAACAAGCTCTACTCGCTGGTCAGCTGGACTTCAGCGTGGGCAACAGCTTCTTCGGTTTTGCGATGACGCTCAAACTGCAAGATCTCACAAATTCTTGCCGGCACTAGCTGGAAAGCATTGGCAAGTTGTGTTTGGCAAGGGTTCTGAGAAGCACTTTCTGCGAGGACGGACCGCTTCTCAGAATCTGCGCGCAAAATCTGCAGACAGAGGCCGTGGCCGCACTACGTCATTACTGTGGTGTGAACTTACAACTCGCAGCACAAGAGGGACCTTCGGGTGGATGGATTGTTCAGCCCAGTTTGCCAAGAGGTGCGGACTACTTAGTTGTTGCTGCCAGGAAATCTTTCCTATTTACGTTACGCACACTTCACCATGGCATTTTGATCAGTCATTCGGCAGACGGAGCTGTACCCAAGGATGGTTATGCCGGACATGAGCAAGCGCATCACAGCAGCCGCTGCTTGCCACAGCGAGTGGTTCAAGGACACCGCTGCGCCAAGCATTGAAAAGGTCTTGTTATCAGCAATGGCTGCACTTCGGTCAGCTTTGAGGAGCAGGAGGTCGGAAAGTTTCGGCGCCCCCAGGACTTGGCTGTCAGGTTTTGTGAGTGCCTGTCCAATGTCCAACTGCCAACAATAAGAATAGGCTTGGGGCTCTGGCACGTGCAAGCATTTTTGCAGCTCCAGTACGAGTGTCATGTTTAATTAGGTATTTCAAGATGCGGTTCGTGCGAGGAAGGCGATCAGATTCCAAAGGAGGGCAGCCCAGCACTGTGCGCCTGGGCAAAATTTCGCAGTAACTGCCTTGGTCAAGTCTCTTGGAGCAGTGGGCTCATGAAGTAGCATGTGTGCTTGCAGTGCAAGCCCTGCACAGGCAAGCCAGCTCAAATGCCAGCAATCATGAGGCACCATTAGGGTTTGGAATGTCTGGCAAGCAGCGGCAAGAACACATCAGCGAGTGCAGTCCGGTGCGAATGTCGCACCATGTCGCACCAGGGAAACCTTGCGTGATGCCATGTCTCCGCAGCGGCAGTTATCAAATCCCAAGTAGTCAGGAAATTCGCAGCGCCCAGTTCAAGTACAGGGCGCCATGTACCGCAACCATCAGTATGACATGGACTGCATCACTTGGAGTCCGGCCGGACGAATCCTGCAAGTGGAGTATGCAATGGAGGCAGTGAAGCAAGGTACGCCAGTGCTTGGACTTGTGTCCAAAACACACAGCGTGCTCGTTTCGTTCAAAAGGGCTCAGTCAGAGCTGGCCCAGCATCAGCAGAAAATCTTCAAGATTGACGACCATTTGGCCATTGGCATTTCTGGTCTTACTGCTGATGCGCGGGTTTTAGCGGACTACATGCGAAATGAGTGTTTGAACCATAGATATGTGTTTGATGCTGACATGAACGTCGGCCGGCTGGTCGCACAGGTTGCCGACAAATCGCAGCAGAAGACTCAGAACTCGTCCAAGCGGCCCTATGGAGTTGGTTTGCTAGTGGCGGGCTTTGATGAGAAGGGTCCTCACTTGTACGAGACATGCCCAAGCGGAAACTACTTCGAATACTATGCGATGGCAATTGGTGGACGTTCTACTTCTGCCAAAACATATTTGGAGAAATATTTTGATCATTTCGCAAATGCAAGCGAGGAGGCATTGATCAAGCATGGTCTAGAGGCGATGAATAAGACGACCGCGTCAGACCAGTCTTTGACAACCAAGAACACCACAGTAGCCGTGATCTCGGGGCCGGGTAAGTACAGAGAGTTGTCCGGCGAAGAGTTGCAGAAGTTCATCGACGGCCTAGAGAAGAAGGCAGACGAACCTATGGAGGAAGAGCCAGCGCCAGCTGCAAGTGATGCTCCTGCGCCCATGGACACATCCGGCTAGTGGTCACGGCCTATTGCCGACTGACACGCCTTTTCAGAAAGAGTTGGCAAGTCAGCCTCGTTTTCGAATGATGCCGTCCGTGCCAGTCCAGGGTGGGTTCGGCAACATGTCTATAAGTGGCCATGAAATCATGTGGCTGCCGCAAAGAATTCCAGGCTCCGCGGTGACACTGCGTTGGTCTCCGGTGTGTTGTATTCCGGTTCTATAATGCGAAGGTGATAGGGTTATAGGCATTTAAAAGTAGGCGGTGCAGCTAGAGCCAGCTTGGACTTCTGCTCAGAACAAATGCGAATGCAAAAAGTCAACACGGCAGCGATGCGCACTAAAGAACACTAAAGAGCTGAAATGAACGAATGAATAATCAAGCCAAGCCTTGGTTTGTTTCTACTAAGCCGCACTGAGCCTTATTCTTTTCAGCTCCAGTACCGCTAATATTACGGCATACTCCTCGGATGCTGCACGTTCTCGTACTGCCTGCCATGCAGGCCCTGGTTTCACGCATTTTCACGCAACATGGCCGTTATTGGATCTGACCTGCGGCTTTTTGTCAGGGAGCAGTCCGACATGACCGTCGATGGAGGGAAGGACAAGGAGGAGCACCAAGGTAGTGGAAAAGGGCAAAACGTAGAGAATACCAGCCAGTACCCCTCACAGGACGCTGCGCTACGATGGTGGCCTTTCAGTGCTGAAGCACAGCCAGCACAGCCGCATCGTGGCCAAAATGCTTGGTATGTGTGCTTTACCAAGGCTGGTCAGCTGCTTCATGCAAACAGTCTCGGTCGCCTGCATCATTTTTTAGGTCGAGACCGGCGGGAACAGAGGAGCAACAGCAGGAACGTCAGCACGAGAAGCAGGAATTGCAGGAGGAGCTGCTGCAGCACAAGCGAGCGCTGCAACAAGGGCCTGGCCCCTCTGGAGCGCATTCAGATGATGAGCTACGGAGGCGGAATCTCGACGAAGATGGAACTTGCCTGTTGATGCGTCATACTTGTACAAACCAGAGCCCCCCTGCCTTGAGTTCTAAGGATCCAGGGTTTGGAGGAGCAGCTGAGGCTGAAAGGGGTCTGCCTTGACGTGTCCGTGTGCGGTCATTGGATTGGCTTGCCCCCATCACAGGCGGCATGAGGAGCAAAGTCGCATGCGAGAAGAAGAGAATCGGCTTCAGAAGGAGCAGAATGAGTCGCAATGGGAGATGCTTGTGCAGCTTCTTGGTCAAAATAGGGCGAGATCAGATCAGAATTTCTCCCGGTCAAATGTTGACGATTAGTGCAGCTAAGTGAGGGAGGCTTCGTGGCTTTTGCTGATTGAATCCTCAGCATGCATGCTGAGGATGCAGCAGTTCATCAAGGACAAAAAGATGACTCAGGACTTGGAGGTCAAGCTCTCAGTTGCAAGCCTGACACTTCAACAGCCGCGAGCTCCAGGCCATGCTGATTGGATAAGCCTGCCTAGGCTACAATGGCAGTGAAGGCAACGCCGTCCGAAACTTCCGCGCCGCCTGCAGCACAGGCTTCACCAGCAAAACTGCATCTTGTTCGTTGGGTTGCCTCAGAGTGACATGAGCCGTGCCAGTACCCGGAGGCTGCAGCCGGCGACGCAAGCCCATTTGCTCAGCCTAGTTCCAGTCGAAGCTATTCTCGAAGGCTGCGTCCTAGCCCTGCTGCACTGCTTACATACCTTACATCGCAGCTCTTGCACAAGTAGAGCACACTCTATGTTTCCAGTTTTTTTGGTAACTGGCCTTGAATCTGGGCAAAGCCGATATTCCGTCGACAGGACTGTCAGCGCCACTGCCGCTCCGCCAGAAATGCGCATCCCTGCAGTGCAGACGCTACGGCCCGGGATGAGAAGCTTTACAGCACTCGCAGCGCAGCATAGAATCAAGCAAGAGTCAAGTCAGACAGATCTCAGGATGCCGGTATTATTCAAATACGTATTGCAGATGGATCAATGCCAAAGTTGAAAAGTACCATCCCAATGGGACGCTCCTTAGCTTCAAGATTTGGGCCGGGTGAAATGATAGAGCTTCACCTTCACCAGTTAAGTGCGCCGGCACGTAAATGCCGAGGTTTGACTTGGACGTGAAGCAACATGCCTCCATCGAAAACATTTCGCCGCTTGCAGACGTTGCAGAAGCCGAGGCAGGGGAAACAGCCTGTAGGATTGTTCTGTGACATTTTCTTGACGGGACTTTACTACAGCTACAGCAATACCCCTTTTGTCACTGTTGGAAGTCCACAACTTCATATTAAGGGAGTGAAGAGTTTAAGCACTTCATCGGGGGTCTAAACCGCAATCAAGTATTGTCAAAGGGCAAATATTGAATCAAGACGACAGGCGGGATGTCCTGAATGCGGTCAGTCGGTCAGTTGTGGCAAATTGTCGGACAGAAAGTAGCTCTGAGTTTGAATTCTAGGTCTTTTGCCTGACTGTCTCTTTGCAAGCGGAGGCTTGGCCGCCCGGCACCAGCGTGAGCTACAACAGCTCATCAGCCAAGCGCTGGATTGATGCTGTTGTCCAATCGTGAGGGGCTCGGGGGCTTGTATAGCAGCACCATCTGCACGGAGGCATTCTCAGAACAACGTTGGATCATTACGTCCTGGGTCAATGTCCCCGTTTCCATACCAGCCCACCAGATCAATCAACAAACGGCTTCCAAAGTTGTTGGCACTGTCCGACTTCGCCGCTCCCTTTCTCCGTATTGTCTGTCTTTGTCTCTTAGTACTTGTCCATCCGTCTGGTTGCATCCGTGCAGCGAGGAGGCCTCTGAAGCAATGCTCCCGGAAGTGATGCCTACCAGAAACTGGCACTCCAGCCGGGCACTTCTGAAAGTTGCTCGCTGCAAGCACAATGTCTGCAGCCTCTGCAGAAGCTAACAACATGACGATGCCCCAGGCATTAGCTACGCAGCAAAAAGTTGCGAAGCCACGCAAGTTGTAAAATCTGCAACAAGAGGCGGCAGAACATTCGTGTCCACAATTCATCAGAACCCGAAGCACAAACACTTGGCTTGCTTGTCACAAGGAGAGGCGAGCCGCTTTGTGAGTGGAACAGAAATGTCCATGCACATCCTGCGTTAGGTTTAATGCCAGCGGTGCCAACGTGGCTTGGCTTGTTTGGCTGGATCTAAACGCCTTCTGCTCAAGAAGGAGTTCACTGAAGGCTAGGATGTGCAACGAGGCAAGAAAGAGTAGGTCTTGGTCTTGTGAAGAAGTAGACCTCCAAAGAGAGCGTGAAGCAGCTTGGATGGTAGGCTTTGTGGTGGTACGGAACCGGGCAGACTACTAATTTCTCTGACCTTCTTGATCTACAAATACAAGCAACAATAATTTCAGCAGCTGCGCTTTTGGGGCTGCAGCTGTTTTCGGAGAGCACCCTTGCCGCGCAGCAGCTGAGGCTGGCACATACAATCTTGATGTGAGGCCTTGTGCAGACTGTGACCGCATCAGACCCAAGCTGTTGAAACATGAAGCGGTGCCAGTGTGAATTAGCTTCACCTCGCACATGGCCTGTGCCCACTTGCTCCAGATAAAATGATGCATATGGCGTATGACCCTTCGACCACGGAGTTATTTCTGGCAGATAGGGTCGCAACTGCTGCGCGCGCACATGCCACTGTGCACCGACGTTTCACCCATGCCATGCTGTACCACCCTAGCATTCACTGGTTCGCGCACAGAAGGCGTAGTGTGATAGTGGTCTTTAGCGACCTCGTTGCTCTCAATTGACAATGCTACATTTTAGGCCGCGGAACTCTCCAGGCGACCTGTCAGACAAGAGTGCTCCAGCAGCTGTGAGGCTGGAAAAAGATGACCCTGACCATTTTGATTGCACAGCTCATGCAGCACTTTGGTCAGTGGTGAACACGATGGGGTCTTAGCTATGAGGCAGCCCCTCCGTCAGGATCCAGCAAGTCCCCCTCATGGCGCTAGCATAGCGCTAGCTCGGGGCTAGCATTTAAGTCAAGGCAGTCTTGCAAGAGGTACCAATGTAGAAATGCTTAGCTTTTTGCGTTTTGGGTACAAGGTGGCCCCCCAGGCAAGTGCTTCTCGCAACCCTGATTCGGGTGATTGACGTTTGACAATGGTCGTTTGATACACGCAGTTGCCCTATTTCAAGCAATCAGGGTTACTAGTAACTAAGTCACGCTTATCATGTTTGCAACTAGTGTGGTTGGTACATACTACTAGCATCATATTCTGGCTATGAGGCGTTGCTGGCTGCTGGTGCCTGCCCAGATGCCGCAGGCCGTGAAGGGGTGGGCTGCTCAGCGCGGCTCGAATGGAAACTTTTCCAAACCCGCTGCTACAAATAAAGCCTTGTAGTTCGGGGCCACTGGCTGTGGGAGGCTACGAGATGGGCGGGAGTTCGTAAGGTCACACCCTTGGAGCTGATCCTGCGCAAGCAGCGTGACGAGAGTGCGGACAGCGAATGGTTGAGGCCAAGTTCTGAACCCAGTGGGAAGTGGGCCCAAATTTTCTGAGAATCGCTTCAGGGCTTTGTTGCGCCCGTCCAATCTTATCTTAAGCACTGGCCATCCAGCCTGCCAAGTTGCCCCAAGAGTTTCTCGGGCTCTTGTAAAGCCTGCTTGAGCTAATCTTGCTCAGTTTGCAGTACCGTTCCATAATGATCCCTCAGGCCCAGGAGGTCTTGATAGATGCATAAGATTTTGCATCCTTTACGCCCGGAATTCTGCCTGGAACTTGGTGCACCCTGCCCTGAAAGGCAGTGCGCGGAGGCATCGAACGGACAGCTATGCAGCTTTCTGGGAGTGTTTCGTATTCTCAGGGTGCAGGATGTCCGCGGATGCAGCGGTGCGCGTGTAGACTGCTTGCTAAGTCGTGGAGGTGCTGGTTACATTTTTCAGTTCGAGGGCTAACGCCAGATTTCAAGAAACTTTGATGTCCAGGCATTGCGGCAGCACAAGGCGATCCTGGAAGCATCGCAGGTGGTTTGCACGGCAAGAGATGGCAAGAGATACGGCCGATGTCATTGGCCTTCTCTTCCTGCCAAGGAAGATCATGCAGCTCGCGTCGTTGAATTGCCCTGAGCTGAGATGAGCTGTTCTTCGTGACTCTTCCCATGCGCATGCCTGATGAGTTTGAAATAGGACTGTGTGCAGGTTGGAAACCGGTCAGACTGATAGAGCCATGCTGTTCAGGCAAAAGACCTTCGGAGTGAAGATGGTCTCAGCCTCACAGCCCTGCCGCCTTTCCACAGGAGGAGTTTTATGCATACTTCTTTGTTGAAATGCATGAGCACGGTAGCCAGTGGTGGCAGCGGCATGGTTGCTGTATGGCAATGGGGAGCCAAAGAGCATCGACACAAAGCATCGGGCAATGGACGTTGCGATTGGCACTGGCGCAGGGTCTGGCTTAACACGTTTAAAGTTTAAACTGTTTGAACATAAACGCGTTTAAGCATGTTTGGGAGATACCCTGTTTAAACACTTTTTGTTTGAACACGTCCGGCCGATGAATTGCATCAGACAGACCCCGCTAGGTCGGTGCCTTGCTGACGCTCGCCTCACCTCTGTCACTGCCTGCCGAGATTCTGGAGGCATGACATGTCAGAGGGGTTGGGGTGATTGGCCAGAAATTGCACAAGAAGATGAGCTCGATGCTCGCGCGCCTCACGTTGCTACAAGTAGCTGGCTAGGTGCTGCACCTCCTGTTCCGCGAACTTCCCTTGGAGGCAGGCTGAGCCGCAGATCCACCAAAGCCAGAGGGTTCGAAGCGTTTCGGAGATTCATCTGTTTGTCTTTTTGCGGCCGGCTACGGGCTCCCATCAAATGCTGCTCCTTGCTTTGCCGCGTCAGGTCGTAAAGGAAGCCTTGGAACCACAGGCTCGACAGATGGTGCAGATGCCATGCTTGCATAGAGCTTAGTTCACAATCCCGGCACACTGTTTTCGGCCGCTGACATGCGCATTGAATCCCTGTCCCAGCCAACTAGCGTGGAGATGTAGCCTGTGAGAGATCTAATTTCCACTTCTCTCCAATCCCGAAGCTGCGCGTTGCTTGTAAGAGACACACTAATTATGTCAACCTAGCGCGAGCCAGGCTCACGAGCTCGTATGCCTTAGGCGAATCTGACATGTGTGCAGGCCTTTTGCGCATTGACTTCGCTTCTGCAGCACGTGGCCAGGAACTTTGATGAACTTTGCTCGTTGGGCTTTGAAGTTGGTCGGAATGCAGTTCGGTGAAGAAAAACACAAGGAGATGGCCATGTGTGACCCAGGCAAAAGGAAAGTAACAGCCCTCTAACGTTGCAGATGCAAGATCTCCCCAGTGGCATCAAGAAGTGGACAGGCTTTCAATCAGAAGCAATCTGCTGATTAGTAGATGGTCCAGTCGTGTCAGCGAGTCTTCCACGATGTATGTTAGCAGAGCTCCGTGAGATTCCTGGACCTTCTGTCTTTCAAGGAATGTGCGGATTTGCTAGTTTCGTGGCAGCATAGAACATGAGCTGACTTTCTTGTTCTTCGTTGCGCAAAACATCTGCTCAAGCGTGGTGCAGCATGTGGGACATGCCTTCGTATTTGGTAGGGTACGTGTAGCCATGGTCGGCCGGACCCTTGATTGCAAGGAAGTGCTTCATTTTGGACCAGAGATCTCTCAAACGCAGAGGTGGCCTTCAGGGCATGGGCACGTGCTAAATTACTGTCAGGATACGCGACCCTACCACTGGAGCCGTCCTGAGAGCATCTGGCAAGAAAGACAGCCGAAACGAGGACCGAGATGCGCCCCCTGGTCTCAGCAAGAAGTTGAAGCCATCAACACAATGAAACCAGTCTGGGTTTGGCTCTGCTTGGATGAAAACTCAGGAACCCGCTGAATGATGCCATTCCCGGAGAAGTTGTCCGGCGTAATGAAACCTTTGCTGAACAGCCGGCAGGGTAAGTGCTTGTCATGCTTATTCGTTTCCAATGTGCTTGCGAAACACAGATGAGCTTCATGACAGTAATGTCATGTTCAGATCAATATCTAGCACAAGTTTCTGCCTTCAACGTGCGAAGCCTGATCCTGTGGTGGTGGCTGCTAAGGAGAGAGTTCACAAATCAGGACCCAGCGCAAAGGCTCTGGCAGAAACAGACCTGCAAGCTGTTTTGGCAAAAGGTTCAGGCACTCGAGAAAAGCGCCCCAGCTGCATCTTTCTCGTATGCTGCAGGTCAAGACGCCAATAAGGGGAGAGTATAGTGCAGTGCAACAGTCTCCAATCTTGACGGAGTAGCCCACATCAGCACAAGTGCCTCAATGATGTAGGCTCCCACAAGACATTGCTGAAAAGTTCCGTCCGACGGTGTTACCAAGGTGGCTGAAAAAAGCCTTGCAGCAGGTGCAGGAGGGTGACCTGTCTGCCGCCGATGTGTACAACATTCTCAAGGCTTCAGAGCCGCATCACTTGCGTCAATGGAACCTGCTCTGTGGGACTACGACGCAAAAGTCCTTACCATTTGGAACGTTTGCCTTAGTGCCCACACATATCAGGTTCCGGACTTCGCTTCAGACCTGAAGGACAAGACAGGGAAAAGCATGCCCCCGGGCAAGAAGGATTTGTTGGAGCTTCCGTGGTGCTCTCTTTTGGTTGGAAAGCGCTGCATGCTGGTATTGCGGGTGGATGCAGACGATGATCAGAAAAATCCTCAGCTGAGGTACAAGTTTCTTATGTCTCGGATCTCCGTCTTCTCAAAGGGGCCTGCCCGGTCGCAAGATGATGAAGTAATTAATTAGGAGGAGGGACCCTTCGCCAAGGGCCTTCTGCTTTTTGACTATGGCTATCATGTTCAGGTCTATAGTATCCTTCAACTCCAAGACCCCCTCCCTTCTGGCCCCTGCTGCTTCATCACATGACACAGGGCACGCTGCATCGTGGAAGCATCATTCATGACGAGATGCCTGCTGTCTTCGCTGTGATGGTGTACCACCGTAGTCTGACCATGGTATCAGTTCACAAGATTCTTGGAAGAGTTTCTGGGCTGAGGCAGCAACGCTTCCTGCAAAAGGAGTGCTCTTTGGCCCAGCTTTTTGGTGGCGAAGGAGATTCTATCTAGCACAGCGTATGTGTTAGATTTGAACGATGAAGCTCACAAGAGGCTGCCTGAACCCACATCGTCGGGGGGCTTGAAGGTTTTAATCGTCTCTGTCACGGCGATGGTGCATGTTCAGGTTATGAAAGACAATGCAAGCTCTGACCTGATCATATTATGCAAAATTCTAGGTCCTGGGTGAATGCAGCTTCGAAAAAAGCAACCACAAGCATCAACAAAAATTCCAGCATCAACCAAAGATCTCACAGGGCCAATCCTTCACAGCAGCCCTCTGCTCCATTCGACCCCTGATTTCTGATGTGGTGATTTCAGAAGTGTGTGACAAACTCTGTGAAGAAGGGCTGCCAGGTGACATTCCGACGAGCACTGCATGTCTTATGACCAGGGGAAGGTTGCGCGGATCAATTTGTTGCCAGATGGGGGCTGGCTGCGCCCCCTTCACGCCCCCGTCTTTTTTTAATGCCATCCCTGCTTGCAATAAGGCATCATGTCATCACCATGTTTGATGTTTGCAGTCAGGGAAGGTTGGGAAAGCCATCCATGCTTACAGCAAAAAAATAAACGGCGTCGAAAGCTTTCAAAACTGTTGTCGCCTGGTATTTCCATTCTTTGTATAGCCTGCATTATTGATGTTCTTTTGCCAGCAATCATATTCACTCAAAAAGTAATTCTTTTGCTCTTTGTACAATTCTATTGTTTTTGGTGCTATTACTGCTGGAGCACGGTCACGCCCTCTAAGTCTGAAAAGGTTGCCAAGAGGTGCCGGTGCCTAGGGGCTTGACATGATGCCTCCTATCACTATTGTTAGGATTGCTATGATTACTGTTATTCGTCTTATTACTATTATTATTGCCATTTTCTCTATAACTAATACGATGATCAGCTGCTGCTACTATCGTTCCCACCACTTGCTGCCCTACTACTACTACTACTACTACTACTACTACTACTACTACAAGTACAAGTTGTTTTCCGATTCCTGCCATTTGTTCTTGCCCCTACTATATTGAGTACACAAGATGTATTTTCATGCTTTTTTTTGATGTGCAGTTCTTTTGACGCCTGCGTGCATATATATATATGTGTATATGAGGTATGCATGTAATTATATATATATACATATGTTTTTTTTTTTTGTTTTTTGTTTTTGTGGTCCCTCAACCTTGCTTTCGTGGTATGCATGTGAAATCCTGTCGAACAAGTTGCCGGAAATTATGTTGAAAAACAACCGGGACGCATGTGCACAGTGCGGCATGCATGTGAATGTGCCAACCAGTTATGTGCAGCTGAGAGGAGGTCAATCCTTGGGCAGTGACGAACTCAAAGCGCCCAATGCGGGCCAGCCAAACCCTGAGGCCGCGGAGCAAATGATGGCTCCTTGGGTGCAACTGTTAAGCCATAGCTAATTACATTGCTTTTGACAATTTCAGCTCCTGGCAAATTAATCAGTGATACATGTTGATAGCAGGTTGTTTGAGATGCCCTTGTTTGCTCAGTGTTTCCGTGTGATCTTTTGATTCAGGCCCGTGTCCGAGAATTTGTCCGCCAACAACAAGGCGTTGAACTTGCTGCTTGGTGTCAAGGAGCACTCTGTGATCCATGTGCTTGTTCCCAGCCCATGCATGTACAGGGTTTGTGCTGGGTGCGCAGAGCTGTTAATTCTAAGGACCAAGCAGTATCTGCCGTTCCAGAGCCTGCGCCGCCACCTGACATGCAGATTCAAACCACGGTAGTCCAAACACATGAAGACCACTTGTGCAGTGTATTCTGAAAGGTATTACTGGTACTATTGCCGCTCTCACTACTATACTTAGATATACTACTATAACTAAATATAGGTACTATCCCTGTTATTATCAGTACTACTGTTACTATGAACATTGCAGTTGCCACCACTGTGATTATGCAAAGACATATGAGGGTATACAGGCTGCATCACTGGGGCCATGCTGTAGCTGGCCCAGCCTGGATCCAACGTGTGGTAAGTTGCATGCTGCATGGTGCTAAGGGTGAAGCATCGCCTGTAAGGTGGAGTGTCAGGGTTTATGGTTTAAAAGGGTTGTTCACGTGTAGAGATCTATGAAGTTCCAGCCGGAGTGAAGCCAAAGTTCACTTGGAAGCGAATGGACAGAACCACATCTTCAGAGTGCCGCCACACAGGGTGTACAGCCGCAAACTGTACAGCCATGGCATGCAGCAGTTTGAAGGAGGAACATCTGACTGTTGCTGTTGCTGGCGTTAAGCATTTTATTTGTTCAGTCTTCCAGGTGGCTTTAGTCGGATCGGAGTGAAGCGTTTGGTGCCAGAATTGAAGCGTGTTGGCCTTACTTCGCCGACAGCTGTTTGCAGGCCACCTCCACTCCCTAGACAAGATACGTCTGCAGTGGCGAGTATGATCGCCAGGACGGGATTTTGGAAAGAAGGGCTGTGAGTGGCGTATATAGTCAACATTACGGTTGAAGTCACGGGGCTGGGAATCCTTGTGGATCGATGGGAGAGCAATTCTGCCAAGTTTGCAGGGCAGCCTCCACAGCTGTAACTCGGCTGAAGTTCAAGATCCGAAGGATGATGATTATTTTGATCAGCACAGGCCGCGTTGCTGCTCCTAAGGTAAGCTACCAAGCGGCCAGGGCGGCCTGGCCTGCTGAAGTGCATGAGGTGCCAGCGGTTGCAGCGGTCCCAGCGCCGCCGCTGGAGGCAATTGTTTCTTGCAATTTCAAATTTTGGTGATCTGGAATTTGGTGATCTGCAGCGGCTTCATTGCAAGCATTCATTGGTACTGCCCTGGAAGGAGAAGATGCGGCATGAAAGCGAGGCTTCGAGCTCGAGATCTAGAAGGAAAGCCAAAAAGACGCTCAACTTTTGATGCGCGTGTTCTGCGGAACCCATAGTCATCGGCATACATGTCCGCACCCCGATCCAGGGCCTGGGGCCTTGGCAGGGAACTTTCACTTTGCCATTTGGACTTCAGACGGTACACCGAGTCTGGTTGCAGAGCATTTCGACTCAGGACAAAAAGGGGGCCATCCTCGAGCTCTCGAAGCTCGCCTCGGCGAAGAGGCTCGCGCTCGCGCTCCAGGCCAGAACTGCTGCGGGCACGAGTGGATGGGAGTGTAAGCACAGCCTTGTTGCGGCAAAGACCACTTTTTATACATGCTCCAAGGGCCCGCTTTAAATTCCTGAGCCCAAGTCAGAAGCAAACTGCCCGCATTGCAGCATGCCCTGAGGGCTCGGCGGAGACGGTGAGCTGAAGCCTGTCACATCGGGCTGCTGGCAGGTTGCTAGTGAAAGAGGGCCGAGATAAGCGGCTGGTTTGCTTCTTTACACCAAGGGCTCTCTGTCTCTCGAGTCTATAACTCATACCTTCAACACCTAGCATACCAAGCCAGCGTGACTGTTATGTAGTGCATGATGCAGAGCCGGACTGCAAAGGCAGAGTTTGGAAGAGAGGTCTGCTTCCAGCAAAAGGAAAGCAGTATGCCTCTCAAGTCGGCCGGTGAAAACATCAGAGGCTGACCTCTACTTTATGGCGAGGAAACACCTGACATGCGATGGCGCCAAAATCCGTTGGATTACCAGATTATCACATCATTTTTGTTCCTCAGACACAGCTGAAGCTTGCTTTGCCAAGGTGGGTGGCACCGACAATCTGAGTGTTGCCCTGCTTGGTTGCCATGAGCTCGGCCAGCTAATTGCACTACTCTTGGAATCACCTCATGGGAACATCAAGTCCCAGTCTTAGATTAGATATCTTGTGCTGCTCTCAGGTCGCATCATGCGATCTATGCACCAGAAAGGTGACACCAAGCTACGGTCTGTGGTGCGAAGCAGGGCCCACAGATTTTCAATGAAGTTCAGATAGGCATGTAAAGGTTGAGCCAGTCATGATTGCACCTGTAGCCTCCTGCAAGCGGCGCAGGCATGCAGATGGCATGAGACGGGCCTGATGGCGACTGAGGCCACGGGGCTAAGCGATGGGCGCAGCGGCTTTCCGACAGCAAAGATGTGGCACAGCCTGGGCCTCAGAGTTGCGTACGGGAGGTTTGCACGTCCTTTACGCTTCCCGTGCCTTGCCCCACGAAAGTACTGTCCGCCTGGGACTTCACGCATATCACAACCGCAGTGTAGTTGTCGATTTCTCGGTGTGCACTGCTGACGGGCAAGAGGTGGGAGAACAGGTTGAAGAAAATTGCATTGAGCCAGCCCCAGTGAAGCTTGATGGTGCAAACGCCTTGTATTTAAACCGACCCCGTGTCAGGTTTGGAATCTATCGCCAAGCTCACAATGAGAAGGTGACCGTCGACGAGCTCAGCCGCAGACTCATCCAAGCGATGCCTGCCTTCCTCTCCCAGCAGGGGTTTCAAGCATCCATTCAGAACAATTCAGCACGTATTCAAATGATTCTTGAAGTTGAGTTTAGCATGCGTGCGCGAAAAGTTAGAGACACGGACACGAGATACCAGAAACTTCGGGGCTGAGGCTCGTGAAGCTGGGCCCATTGACCCATTGACGTGAGACCGGCTCGACAAGGGCAGAACGGCCTAGCAGAGCCCCCTCCGCTCCGCCCCATCACCTCAGTTCCGATGCCCCCTCCAGCCCAGCCTCCAGCCCCCGCCCCCACCCAGCAGGGAACAACCCGTTGGTGGATGCCACAACAACCTCAGTGGATACTAACTACAACTCAACAGAGCCAAGAACCATTGCTAGCACAATCGAAAAGGGGGATAGCACAACTTCAGCCACGGGTGCGAGATATCCCGTTTGGGCTTCCAATAGGAACTGGTCATGTTTTTTTTGAAGGTAACGTGAGTGGTTTGGGCTTCCAATAGGATGCGCTCACCTTACTTTGTTATGGGCAACTTGAGTCATTTAGGCTTCCAATAGGATGCGCGGACAACTTGAGGTGTTGAGCTTCGATTCAACAGGATGCATTCATGTTACGGCATGTGGGCAACTTGAGTGAATAGGGCTTGCAATAGGATGTCCTCGTTTTCTCCTTCTGGGTTGTAGGTGCATGCATGAGGAAGACGCTTGCCCTGGGCGTCAAAGACACATAGTGTGTGGCTTAAATACTTATCGACATTGCAACTCTAGTAGTAGAACCATAGTACTTTCCGCACAGTACATCTCATTCTGCATTGAAAGTCTCCCAAAACGGTTTTGAAAACCTGAAGTTTAGGCAGCAAGGACATGTATAGTCGGTAACCCGGTATCACGACCAGCCGTACGTTCTGATTCGTTTCGTCTGCTTGAGCGAACAATTATGAGTTGACATTCTGGGTTTTGTATATTCATCTTCACTGGTTATCCCGCGTTCCTGCGCGCGATAAACCCAAAACCCGCCCCAAACTGCATCCCAGCTTCCTACCTCCAATTGGGAGGCCCATGGCGGGACTTGCACCGGCCCGTGCGAAACACGGCCGACCAGCCGAATATCCCTACCCCCAAAGAGAAAAACAAATAGGCCCAGAACAAAGGGGAGACTAACTATCTCTCCCAGTCTCCGAACCTGGATATAAACGCCCCAGGCCTCCGGCCTCGGCGGATTCACTCAAGAATGAGGAAAAACCTGAGGAAAATGGCCAGTCAGACTGGAGTTGTGCAGAAAGCAACCCCCGATGAAGACTGCCAAGGTCAAGAGGCACAAAGCCTCTTGGACGAGCTCAAAAAGTCGCGCGCAGGCTCGGTGAGTTCGGTGAGTTCGGTGTGAGTCTGACCTTTGAGCGCGTTGCTCGCAGACATGGTTGCTTTCCCAGCGGTTTCATTCACAGCTGTATCCAGCATGCAGTTTGCCGCTTGCGCTGCACGTGTGGGATGTTTCTTGCATTTCATTCAGTTCTGCATCTTGACACAGGCGAAGTGGAGGATTCGGAGCAAGAATGGCGAACCAACGAGACACTTGGCATCCGTGATTGCCGATAGCTTTGTTACGTTTGGCTCTTGCAGCAAAGATTCAACAGCATCATGCCAATATCTTGCCATGCACTTGGCAGCGACAGAGACTGTGCTTCACCATCAGGAAGCTCGTCGAGGTGGTGCCAGACCCAGAACCTGCATGGGGTCGCTGCCGGGGCGTCTGATTTTCTGTTTCGCACCGACGGTCAGGCCTTAGTAACTGCCTTTGAGGGAATCCGATCAAGCTTCAACTTTTGAAGACAAGCTCGACATCACTTCGTGCATCCCCATGCCTCTGGTTTCACGATGGCAGGCTCTACGCATGACACCTTCAGGCCACATGGCCGCCCAATCTTCTTGTCTTACGGTAAGGTAGACGCCCTCGCTGCAGCAGATGACAGTGGCCCCGGACGCCATCAGCTCAAGTTCAGCGTAGTTTCAGCGTCTGCTTGCTGTGCGATCGTGCCATGCGTCAAGACTTGACAAGACTATGAAATGGCAAATGCCAAATGTGCACAAGCTCAAAATCGATGCTGTGCGTCTTCAGGACTCGCCCCTGCAGAGGGTCTTTTTGCGCTGCGCGAGCTGCTGAAGAAGCTGGGTTCCAAGCTGCACAGCTACATCTCCCAGCCTTGCTCCCTCTCCGAGCAAAGTAAATAATGTGGCGATCGTGGACTTTGGACGTCTTTGCATTAGTAACATGCCTCAGGACTGAGAAAGGAGGTATCGATGAGGAGCGCTGCACTGCTTTTGAACTGGAGAAGGCCTCGATGGCTTCCGTTTGTTTGTGCTATGTAGGCTTGGAGTTCCGTGTGCTGACTTCTCATTGGTTTTCTTGGTTGGCGACATGATCCGCTGCGTAATTATTTTGTGATGGGCTTTCTGAATGGATCGTCCTCATTGCTTTGGTTGAAATGAATGGTTGGGTGCGTGGGGCAAGCACACGGTCTAGCAGGGAAACAGTATTGAACAGCATCGTATTGGACAGCAAATTCTTCAGCTGCCAAGCTGTGCATTTCAGTTCGATCGCCATGAAGTGGCCTTTGGGACCGGCCTGAGTTTCCCGCCCGCCCACCCGCCCCTGTGATAGGGAGCTGTGACTACAATGAGCGCTGGCGCACCAGTTGTGGGCCCGTGCACCCGATAGTCTTAGATTGGTCAATGTCCACTTGATAAGAATCTGAATGCTGGAGATTTCATATTTCAGGCAGATGTGCCTGGCCAGATGCTGCGTTACCTGAAGACACAGACTGCAGACGGGGGGCCGTAATCCCAGTCTTGCTAGGGCTGTTGCTTTCCTTGCGATGTGTGGAACTTGGCACTTCTTGAGGACGTTGCCCGCAGACTGAAGGAATGTGGAACAACGCGGTGACTTTCACTTGCTCTGTGTTGTGCATGTAAGTAGCCTTCTGCAGCCATCTTACTCGAGTGGAAAATGGCTAGAAGTTACCCGGCGGCGCTGCCGGGAGCCTGAAGGTTGCGAGTTCACATGTTGAATTATCGATTTGCAAACCTGGTGCGTAACGCCAATGTGTCAGATCCTGCGGAAAGTCTACACAAAATGCAGCGCCAGCTTCATCGAGCTGGCGGCCAAGACCGATGTGTGCACAACAGCGCGCAGCTGCTACACACATGACATGAAAGTCCGGGCAATGTGCTTATTGACCTTCCCGCATTGTAGAACGGATCCAGCATTTTGTTCATTGTTAATAGAAGCACACGGACTGCATCAACAGTCCGCCCCAAGAACAATTGGATCAATGGCTTACAGCGGACCTTCCAAGAACACATCTTTACCAGGTGCACACCAAGATTCCGGACAGGATCTTCTACTGGATCCATCGCTCAGCCAATTACTCGTCATTTGAATACTTCTGTGTCTCAAGTACCGGGTTAGAGGAGATTTGGCCATTCATGCAGCTTGCTCACGAGGTGTTTGACCAAGCTCCGTTGGAGCTTGGAGACGCCATAGGTCAAGGGATTCCTGAGAAGCTTGTGGCCAACGACCTGCGAGGACTGCAAGTTTGCTTGGATGACTCGCCTTAACATATGCGATAGTTGTGAGAGCATCGTTTGGCTCTCCAATATTGGTCAGCCCACTGTTCCAAAGGCCAGATCGCGGAAGAAGATGCTCTAAACTCCCTGCCTTCTGCGTTTCTGCTGGTGCTGCCAGACCCTTGGACAATCTGGCTGTTGTGGTGTGTGCAGGTACTCGCACCTACCCAAGTCTGGCTGAGAGACATCATTGGCTGAGTTGTCAAGGTTATACACCTGCGCCATGGTCTCAACGAGCTGCGTTTCCAATATTTGGGCGCTTCAACACGCCGTCAGTTTCGACATTATGGAAAATGCCAGGAGCCTTCATGCACACACGTAACTTGAACAAACATACTTAGAGATTGAGGCCAACTTTGGCTTCAGCGAAAACTTCGGCCACAAGAGCTTGCATGATGTCAACAGTTTCGTTGCCACTTCGCTGCTCTAACCATTTTGCACACGAATCATGCTTGCCTTATCTTGGGAATGAGTTAATCAATAAAGCAGGCGAAGGTGTGCGCTTTGTCCGGGTGAAGTTCCGTCATTAGCCCCAAAATGAAGCTTGCAGAAGCCATGAACTGAACTTGAGAGAAAGTTGTAGGGCAGCTTAGGACTTCTCCTCCTGGATGGAGCTTGGCTTCACACCTCTCTTTCTTTCCAAGCAGAAGCCGGTCCCAGAGAACAGCATGCTCCCACCCCAGACCCTCGCGCCAGATGACTTTGACCGGCGCCCTGGCATGCCAAAGCTGGCTTAGCCTACTTCGTTCGCTCGCTGAAACAGTCAAACCGCGCAGTTGAACACATTTGAAGCGTTTGACGTGGTCCACTCCTGATCCTGGTAAGGTACTTGCTGCACACGCACAAGGCCTGCATCATGTGATGAGTGATTGGGGCTTATAGATTACAGATGGTCGTGAGGTTGGCCCTGTCAAGCTTGCACAGATGCCCTGGAAGCCCAGCAGCTGCCGAGAGCCAGGCGCCTTCAGAACTAATCTGAGCTTGCACCCCCATCCAGCAGTCACTTGCTTGACGCGAGGACTTGCACACAAATACGGGCTCAGCTGCGCTGCACAAAATAGCCATCATTTCCTGGAAACAACTGCACACCAGCTCTTGCAGAACACCTTTCAAGAAGACACGTGGACGCACTTGGCCTGTGTTATCCAGCCTGAGAGTTCGAGCAGCAGGATCGGGGTCCTTGCAGCTATCCTCAAGCCAAAGCTGTGCGAATGCAAAAACTTGCCAATTACCTTAAGGGTAGATCCGTAGGCGAAGGCGCTGCATGCAGGGTTTTGGAGTTTCATGACCACACTTCGGCAGCTTCTAGACAATTTGTGTTCCAGAGCTCTATGCTTTTAGAAAGGGCGAGTCGTCAGACGTGCAGTTTTAGCACAGCACATATCCCAAAATGACCAGCTGCTGGCTGAGTGCAAGGCACCTATTTGGCATGTACAAGGCAACATAATTTGGCCAAGGATCCGAACCGAACGGTTTGGCTCGCAAATCTTGGCCCGGATGGCCATTTCACTCCCAGGAATTTGTCCAACTTCTCTGCGAGCACCTAGGCCCAAGCACTCGAGTTTGGACGGGCATTGTCTTCTTCCGCTCTTGCGGTGTGCAGAGGTAAGTGTTGCCTTGAAAGCACCCAAAGCACAGTGCAGACCCGCGTTGAAGGTTGCGGCGTCAGCCTGCTACATCCAATCATTGTGTCATTACTTTACTGGAGAGCTGCCGGAAAACTGCACCTAAGTGCACGGAAGAGAGTGCTGATTATTGCAGTGCCTGAAATCTGGTGCTGTAGCAAAAGTAGGTGGGGCCGTAGGTGGGGGTGGGGCAAATAACACCATCCTGACGGGTGGAGGTAGTGCTTTTTCCACCTTGGCTAGCCGAATCGCGTGGCTGCCGTTCTCCTCATTTGTGAAACCCTAAACCTTAAACAACCCTAAACCTTAAACTCTAAACCTTAAACCCTAGACCCTAAACCTGAAGTTGAAGGCAACAAGTTGCAGGCCTTTTCAAATGTTGGGGCAGAGTTACTTTCGCTATAGCAGTTCCTGGGAAACCCTGAATCCTGAACCTTAAGCCCTACTTGGAGGGTCGGGAGGACTCTGCAAGTAGGTTAATGGTGGCGATACTTGAAATTCTTAAGTGGCTTGTCTGGGCTAGTCACTTCCTTACTAAGGCCCCCCAAATCCTGAATCCGTGTTAGTGTCACGAGCTGGGCTGCCTTGGCAGCTTAGAATTCACAGATATCAGTTGGGGTCAGCTTGTTGATTTGTGCCTTCTCTCTCGCTGGCTTTTAGCTTCTTGTCTGGTGCCAAAGGCTCAGAATCTGATGTGACTACTGCGGTCTATCGTGACATTTAATCAGCGACTTCTTCAGAAGCTCATGTCATTGTATGATGCTGGCCCCAAGCTTACAAGATGGCCAAGGCGCGTGGCTGATGCCTGACACTCTTCGAGCTCGATTGACGTTTATGGTCTACAGCCCAGACGTTGACATTCTCCTGCTGACCAATGTTGAGCTACCAAGCTGCAACAGCTTCCCGCAGCTTCAGTAACCATTCAGGAGATGGCGCTTCCATTCATGGTATGATGCGCGTCAGGTTCATCTTTCCACGGACAGGTCACATTTGGAAGGACCCTGGTGCCTAGAGAAAAGCAAGGAGAGAGCGAGAGATGTATTCTGATGAGACTTGCCAGGACATTACCCATCGAGCGCTGCCCCTGAGAATCTTCGCGACATGGTCCAGCCTAACGTTCGAGGTCTTGTTCTATGCCCTCATCGCTTCCCTTCTGTTTACTGAGCTTTGGGAGATCTACAGTGTCGTCAGAAAGGTGAGGAAAAACAGACCCTTGCTTTGCAGGAGAGTTCAAGCTAGCTGGATACAGATCAACACGTTCCTTTGCGTTGTTTAGGCCGATCGCGCTTGCTGCATTTCGCCCTTCAAGAGAAAGAACTCAAATATCTCAGGCCCACCTACACTGGCAAAAACTACTGTAAACACCCATAAGATATCAAAAGCAAGCGTTACTTGCAAGCATTTTCCATCATAGGCCAAAACAACATGCGCTCAGAATCCATATCTGCACCCGTAGCCTTTGCCTCCGCACAGAAAAGATATCCGGAGCTAAATCTGGACTGCACGGTTGCGACTTCCATCTACGCACCCGAATGAAGAAGTGATTGGGATTTAGGTCTTTCCTGGGCCGAGACGTGCTTGAAATGCGTTTATTCATGGAATGAGGCTTTCGGAACTAATCTTCGAGGGTGTTGAGCCTGGAATGCTCATCACGTTTCGCCTTCCTGCCTGAGCTGTGTCTCCCTGGAACATGTTGCCAGTGGAATTTGTGGGATTCCAGAAGCGGACCTTACAACGGCCTGCATGATGCTGATATACTGATATACTTGTGTTTCAAACTTCTTGCATGTGCCGTTGCACGATCTTTGCACTTGCTTCACCAACATGTAAGGATCTGGTTGGCAGAGCTTCTTCAACAGCTACTTCAATGTTTGGAATGGACACTTGACAGAAGCCTACTCCTGGGATGCTGTGTAAAGAGAGTCAACAGGCCAAAGCCTGCCGTGACTTGATTTGGATCCTCTCGCAGCTCTGGGGCAGCCTGCTCACTATGAATTGGTTGGTCTGTGTCATGCGGAGCCCCAAGAATAGCATGTTTCTGAGCAGTGATGAGGAGTAGCTTCTGTTGCGGCCAATCTGGTCCTTGCTGGGGTGCATTATTAATTACTCGCCCTCGCTCACAGGCTGGCATCGTCCATTTGCAGCGCAAAAACGCATCAAGACAAAGAAGTGCAGAAACAGCGAGTTGAAAGGCTGCACATGCAGAGGAACAGTGTCTGCGTAGCCAATAATAAACCCAGGAGTGGACTGGAGCTGCATTGTCCTGGCCTACGTAATGCTGGGCTTCCAGATACACAAGGTGCGCGATGGCTCCCTGAGAGGGCAGGAGGGCCAGATGGGACAGACCAAGCAGGCCATACTCTGGGTTTGCATCAACAAGTTTGCTTACGACCAGGCAGTACTTACGAGAGAGCTCCGAGAAAGCTTGGAGGCAAATGCGCATGCATACATACATGCCATATTTTGCAATTGCTATGAGCGGCGAGTCCTTGTGGCCAAAGAGCTTCAGCCATGACCTCGCATCAGGGCTATCCTGGCGTGGTGCAAAGTTGCTACCAGGAGCGGGATGGACCAATCAGAGGCCATTCTGCCATGTCCCAGCCACTGCCCAACCCACAGGAGTCTCAGCCAGAGCTTTGTGCTGACAGAGCTGGCGAGGATGGGACACTGCCATGAGATTGTTGCTCCATGACATGCGGGGCATTACGCCCACAGCTGTATTCAGATAGAATAACAGACGGTCCGACTTGCAATCATCTTTGCCTAGGAGCTGCTCCAACGTGCTGAGGCCGTTGGCATTCTTGCGCGCAATTGCACCTCGGTCAGAGTGTCAGATGGCTGAGGCATTTATCTTCGCCTTGTGCTTGCTTGTAAGTACAATGATGTAACGGCCTGAGCTTGAAGGCAGGCTCCTCAGGGGCATTTATCCCGCCACTTGGTCGCAGTTTGCCGAATTTGGTGGATGTAGCTGGTGTTTGAACTGCAGCTCTGAAATTTTGCTGGAGGCGATCGTTATATTGAGGACGCTGAAAGCCTTCAGCGCGCAGCCTGGCTCATCTTGGCCCAGTGTTGCAGCGTGTGACGCTAGTAGCCCGCTAGTACACTTTAGTACGCTTCTTCTCATTCTTATTGAAGTTGACCTGCTTGACTGCACTCTTCACTCATGAACCTCCCGTGTAAGCAGCCTGCGTGAGAGGCAGCCGCGCCTTGCAATCTTGACTCGCACGCTCTCGGCGGCGGCGGTGGATCTCTTCCACTTCAGCTTGGTCGCTCAGCTTGGACTTGGTCATTAGTGTGCTTCGTCACAGGACATGGAGGGGTGGCATGGAGATGCAGGTAAGCATCGCAGGGTAATCGAGTAGTCAGGAATTCTGGAAAGAACCCAAACGGGCAAAACAATGCAGGATCTGTCTCCTTCCTGTCAATGCCATGACCGAATCGATTCGGTCGACATCGATTAATCGATTCGATTACGGCTCTCCTCCGATTTCCCACCTCCCCCACACCCTCCCCACCACCCACCCTCCCACCTCACCCCGCCCACCCTCCCAACCACCTTACCCTCACGGCTTCCACCTTCCAGGCGTCCCGCCCACACCCAGCTCCACCTCCCACCCTCCCATCCATGGGAGGCGGGAGGGTGGGCGTGGGAGGTGGGAGGGTGGGAAAGTGGGAGGTGGGGTGGTGTGGGGTGTGGGAGGTGGGAGGTGAATGGGAGGGCTACGGTAACGGGCAAGTTCGATTCGATCGATTCGATCGCACTGATTCGATGCCAGTGTTTGCGGTTGGTTGGTTGGGCATGAAGGATTCCTACAGAGTTGTCTGTGAGTCGGGCCTCTTAGGGCAGATCACCTTCGGAGAATCTGCAGCCTGAGGCATCTCAGGAGACTCAGTACCCTTGTCTGCTGGATTAGTATCGAACTCGAAGGCATTAGCCTAGCACAGAGCCCACCAGAAGAGTGGTTAGTCATCAATGCATGTTCAGGGATTTCGGGCTGAGCATAATATTGGCAGATTGGTTGCTGAGGTGTTCTTCTGCGTGTTTGCTGCATTTGCAGCCCCTGGGTTGCACTGGGCGCCCATCTCGCAACCATATCATATCCAGGAATCGCTTTGCCGTTTGGATGCCTGGTCTGCGTCAGGTGATGGGCACGGCTTTTTTTGGAGAGGATGAGGTGCACTTCGCCACTTTAGATCGTGCGGCCAGTGTCCTTTTTTTCGCCCTGATGGGCGAAGTGCAGTGGACGTCCATTGAAGCTTGGCTCGCGGGGGTTTTGAAGTCTTGGTTTTTTTTTGAAATCTTAGCTTGCGCTACAACATTCATATAGTTTTGTTCCCCGCGTTGCAGGCTTGAAATTCAGGGCCCCAGCTCTTGTCTCACTGTAGCTGCTGCTGGTTCCCAAGGACAGCCTCGGTCGCCCAGTAAAGCTTCTCTTCGTTGGAGCTTTTCAGTTTGCGCCCAGCTGAGAAGGGGAACATGCGCACGATTGCAACTGCAACGCCTCAGTGCTTTGCAACACTACTGTACGAGGTGGGCCTCCTGTTGATGCTGAACATGTTGATTGCCATTATGATGGACATTTATGCCTGCACCAAAAGCTGTGCCACAAGGAGCATCTCTTTACACATTCTTGTCGTTCGTGTCCGAATCTAGATGCATTTCATCAGCAAGCCAGGAGTGAGCCGCTATGGACTTCGCTCAAGGAAGTGACCGTGCGGAACTGGGAGGTATTCATGGGGCGCGAAATCTCCTTGCGCCGGCTGCTCAAGACGTATGTGCCCTGGCTCGCCATTGCACAACGCCACAGGCTTAGCTTGCTTGCAGTGCATGCGTAGCCCTTAGGAAAGGCAGAAAGGCCCCGGGATCTACCAGAGTGAGGAAGTTATCCAAGTGCAGGAGCTACCCAGAGATAGCGATCCCTGGTTCACGAGCATGCGAGCTAAAGTGCTGGTAGGCAAGCTGTTGGAGGTCATGAAGGTTAGCTTCTATGCGAGTTACTGGCATGCAAATGTAAAGAAGGCACCAGCATGCAAGACAAATGTATCAAATTCGCAACTTCAAGGTAGGGGAAGATGAGGCCCTGAAACCTGTTTAAAATAAACATCCCTTTCCACGGGTTACCAGTTCATCCTTGTCATTTCCTGCCGGACAACAGAGAAACCAAACCCGCAGAAACAACATGAAGCGTTGAGCCAAAAACAAGATTTCCCCCCTATGCCCAATTCTTGCTGGTGGTTAGCAAAAGAATAAGGGAATATAGTACTACTCCTTATTCCCTATGTTACCCGTATATTACCCTATATAATCCATATAACCCCTACATTCCCGTATTCCCTACTAACCCCCAGAAAGCGTCATACCCCAGTCTAATCCGCAATATACTATAGCCGTTTCCTGTTCTTTTGCATTATTCCCTAGATATAACCCTTTGGCCCCTACCTATGCCCAATGCTTGAAAGTTTAAAGCCGCAATTTGGGGCAGGACTTCATGAAGTGGCTTCCAGACCTCAAGTGGTCACAAGCAGAGAGGAGCTCTTTTTCCAAAGAAGTCGTGAAGATTCTGGTTCAAGGTTTATGGCTGTTTTGACAAGGGAGAGGCCCCCACACCTGCATGTGAGACTCAGTTGTTATGACCTGGCAATGCGTGGAGCTTCAAGCTTGATGGCCCAGATTCGTGTGAAGCTTCAGTTGCGAACTGCACAGGATTATCGTCCATGCCCTGGTGAACTACAAGAGGGAGAAGGACTTTGCATGTTGAAGCCATCAGCTACGGAAAGCATTTCTGCGTTCTGGAAGAGCACTGACTACAAAGAAGCAGTTGCTTGAGCGATTTTCTGATTGTTTGCATGGTTTTCGCCTTGGCTGCATACAGTTGTCCAAAGCTCTTCGGCAACATGTGTTGCAGGACGAGCCAGTTGGCTTGGAAGAACTTCTGCAAGCGATCACTGCCCCTCGGTGCTTCTGGAGGTTGGATGAGTCCGGCATGGTGTTATCTGCTTACAGCCAGGACATCCAGGCAGATGTGGTTGCCCTGTCCGAGCGTCTACCAGATCCCGAGCAGCCCAGCGATGCGAAAACAGGCCCGTTGCTATTTGGGACGGCAGGTGCGCTTGGGTCAAGGCGGCAAGTCGGCTCATGGGGTTGTACTCGTATTGCGCTGTTTGGAGGCTGCCGAATGGAGTCTGCACATTCTTTGGCATGTCGCCTGCAGCGAAGAGCCTGGGCGTTGGTGCTGCCTGCGGCTAACTCGCTCAAGTCCCTGCTGAAAGGTCTCAGCTGGCGTCATGCTTTTAGCTACTCGCTATCTCAGGACTTAACCGCGGCATGACCCTTGAAGACCCTTGCAGAGATGGCTTAATGGAAGCACTGCAGAGAGGGGCCTCCGTTTTTTCCGGTATCTCAGCTGCGTTTTTGTGGGGGTCATTTCAGCTTGCAGGGTGGCAATCAGACAGATGGCTGTGCCAATCTCAAAAGCCTTTTCAGGTCATCTTGAATCATTGGGCATGCCAAATCAAGAGCGCCAATTGGACAGCCCGCTCCCCCTGCCCACGCTCCTCGCCTCGTCAGGGCGGGAGAATCGGAAGCTGGGTTGCAGCTGTTCGTCACTTCTGTTTTGTCAACTCACAGTAGCAACATTCAGATATGTTTGGCATCAAACGTTTTCTGCCGTGGTAATCGCGCCAGATCTCACAAATGACCGCCAGTAGATGACCTGCAGCTTGCTGCAGGTGGCTTCATGAGGGATCGAATCAGGCCCGCTGAATCTGACCAGCTTGCCCTGCTCTGACCGCCCATATCCGTATTCCTCGTTTCGCTAGATTTTTGTTAGCTGGCTGATGCTTCCAGTACTAAAACTAGAGAATATTCCAGTCAGCACGGTCACTTTTTTGTCATTCATTTAGACCCTGTGCTACAGGCAGGTTCGAGCGCAGGGGACCTGAAGATCAGCTCAGGGGACGTGCAGGTCTGATGGCTTTTCTTCACGATCAAAGGGCACCAAAGCACTCCATCTAGTGGTTTGAAAGGAAGTGTGCCCGGCTTCGACATAGCTCTGCCGCTACAGTCCTTTCGGTCATGCTGTGGCCACTCGAGCACATCTCAAGCTTGGCTTAATGTGTTCAAGTGGCCAATTTGTGAAATTAAGTTTGCACGTGGCATTTGGATCCTGGTTTGCCCTCACCTTTGGCAGAAAATGACGCCAATAATAGCAAAACAGTTTTCTGTTACCTGCCAAACTCCACACAGCTGGATTGTGAAGCACCAGGGGCAAAGTTAGCGGAGGCGGCCACGATCTGAACCTGTGTCCAAAGCAGCTGCAGCTTCTGGATCTGTAAAGCTCTCGCTAGAATCTCCAGCTGCTTGATGCTTGCTCAAGCCACCAACAATTGGTGGCCGTTGCCTAGCTCATGTGGACATGCCCCAGAAGCGCCTGCAGTACAGTGCAGCTGTTGGCACTTCTGCTTAGCTTGTACAGCTCCTCTGCCCATTGGTGCCAGGAAGCAATTTTGGCAGCATGCATGCTGTTGCACAACACCACCAACGACTCGGATGTTGCATCGTGCTGTGTCGTTAGAAAGTGCTGTCAATGCTGTTCTGCCCAGCTCAAAGTAAGCCGAGAAGCTGGCTGTTGACTGCCACGCAGGGTTGCTGCACGACTACAGGTCTTCCCTAAATGATGAGCGGTGGAAGCTGTTCTATGAGACATTTGGTGATGTTTCGCACCTCGGCTCCAATGTAAGCTGCAAACCGACAGGCGATGTAAAGCATAAATCAATCGAGCTAGCCTGCTGCATTTGCTGTCTTTTCTTGGGTTTGCACATGTCAGCCAAGGAAGCCGTCAAAGAAAGGACTGGGACGATTCATGAAGGCTCGTGGCTGCACAACCTCAAACCCGAGAATCGCAAGTCTGCATGAGCTATCGACATGCTTGGTGCTGCTTCGATTTTGTAAAGTTCACGTGCTACGAAAGCCGTTCACCGTTTTCCATGCAGTTGGGTGTAGGCATCTCGTGTATACCTGCCAATGTGTTGGCCGTGAGCGGCGGGTGAGACGGCAAAGTCCGGGCAACCTCGGGATGGCCCTTGAAAGGGCTCAGCAAAGATCTCAGTAGACCCAGGCTGAGGACCATTGCCATCAGTCGAGGGGGTAGTCACTGCTCAACTTGCTTCAACGGCACGTCGCTAACGGAACTAAGGTTTTGAGGGATGTTGCTCGCACTTGTCCTGATCTGGCCTTAGGACTAAAACATCGTGACGTGCTGCTTGCACTGAGGGTGCAACATTTTTGTGCTTCACTGCTAAGAACTGCTGAATCTTCACGTCTAAGTGCTTCTGCGTTTCCTCCTTCTATGCTGTTGGTTCAATGACGAAGACCACCAGCACATCAACATGTTACATCTTTCTTGTTTGTGTTGGCATCACCGAGTGTGTCGTCACGGAAAGATGATGAGGCTGCTGCTGCTGCTGATGATGATGATGACGTTCTTATTTGCCATCAAGTTTCTTCTGCGTTCAGTGTACCTGGTCAGTCATACAGCACGCCAACCGAAGCTGGTCAAACATGTCTTGAGCTCAAATCAGTATGTAGCTGTTGCGAGTTCTCCGGAGAGGCAGCAGGTTGCTGGTCCCATAAAGTACCTGTTCCACATGGCATGTAATCATTGCACTTCTTGATCCTCCCAAATGGAGAACTCCGAAGCGTGGATACACCAGACCAGCAAGGACAGCTTTACTCGTCGCTACAGCTGGATGCTTCAGACGGCACCTTTCCAAGTACAAGCCACAAAGTCTCAGCAAGACAGAAGACCTACAGCTGAGCGAACGCGGCTAGAACTCAGCACTACTGGACCGGTTGCCCCGGATCATGGTACTTCCAAATCTAACAGACCATTCAATCTCTGGCATATTGCAAAGCTTTTCCTTGTTCATGACCCTGGATTGACCATCCAAAGCGCGCATCCAAGGGTTTTTTGAGGAAAAATGGGTCGCAGTGTCTGTTCTGCCTCCTTGTTGCAAATCGGAAAGAAATGGTCATTGTTCAAAACTGGGAAAAAGAAGCCTTGAAGATCTTGTCCAGCTTGTGCTAAAAGACTACTGGAGATATGGCCAAGTGTAAAGAGCGAGTGGAGCCACAATGAGAACCTCAGCATATTGCCGCAAACTTCCATGGGATGCACCTCGTCTGGCGTTTGAAAGCCAGTGTCGGCCTCCCTCGCGCCTGCCGTCCAAGCGAAAACACTGCAGAAGCACTGCTGTCAGAAACGAAACGAACGAAAAAGTTCTTCTCTCTGCCCGAGCGTCGACCGTTGCTTTGTGAGTAGCTGATTAGCTCCGGCTCCGCTGCAGCTTTTTATGCCAGCCTACTAAGCGTGTCTTTCAGAGGGCAGCAGAGGCCAAACTGCAAGACAATGCAAGACGAGTTTGTTTGGTAAATTCAGTACGAGCGAGACACGTGTCCCGGCGAAGCATCCCTGCCGCCTGTATCAGACAGCACAGTCCGCTCTGTCAAAGGGTTTCGGTTATCTATTGTAGCGTATTTTGTTCTGGACTGTCTGGATCATCGAAGCTGAAGTGGAGTTGTGGCACGCTTTGCGGGATTTCGCGGGCTTGTCATTGCATGTCAGGCATACGGTCAAGCCTCTGGACCTCCATACTGTGTCAATGACAGTGTCAGCAAAATTGGTCGAGGCCTTGCATGCCGTGATCGAGGCTGGAGAGGCCTTGCCCGCCCCGTCCCAGGAGGGCTGACGGCAGCCAATTGTCCTTATCTTAAACGTATAGGTAAACCGATAAAGCATCAGACTAGTCTTGGCACCCAGCTACCGATTGGGAGCTGATGCTGTATCATGGCGACTGCATCCAGTAGGACAACCCCCGTGCGGTTGCCGTACACTGAGCACGCAACGAAGATTCCCAGGTCTGGCGCCACAAGAAGGATCGCGGCCTCAAAGCCCTGACAGAGCATGAACCTCAGCCACGACAGAGCGCCGGCTTGCACTTCGTGAGAGAATCAAAATGATCCAAGATAGCGATGTGAAGCATGAATGCTGACAGCTTTTCTCCTCGCAAGTTTGGAGTGATTGCAGCTGAGGCCAATAAATTTGAAGCTTCGGAGCTTGGCAAGCCAGCCAACTAAGCGTCTGCTGTGCAAACAGTGTGCAAGTGCAGGTAGGGCGTCCGGGAAGAAGCAAGCCTGAACAGGTGGAAGCATCAGGTGCCCCGTGCTGGAGATGCATTTGCCAAAGCATGTGCCTGCACTGTCCGTCATCCTGTCACGATTCGTGCGCAGCTACGAGGGAACAAAGGGACAGGGGAGGGAGGGAAGACAAGCAGCTGAAGCCATTTGGCAGAGAAGGATTGCAGATGCGTTGTTTGGCAAAAGCTGGGTCAACTGTAGTTTCCTGGCTGGTGGAGACTTGGCCAGGTTGCAGTGGAGCCTTTGGTTCAGCTCGCAGATCTCTCGCACTTTCTGACCAAGGCTTTCATTGATAAGGTCTTGCTAGGGTCAAAAGTCACCAGTTGGTTGGTCACCACGGCTCCTGCTGGTGCAGATCACGCCATGCATCGACGCAGAGTATCTGCAGTTTTGCCACCGCCTGATTGGCCTGGGCCTATGTCCATTCCTCCACACCTGCCTTCATCGGGATTTGCTTTGGTCTAAAATCGTGCGCCATCTTAAGGAAACAAGATCTGGGACCATCAGGCAGACAAAGCATATGAGGCCATCATTGATTTGCCAAGAATGTGCATAGCATTGCATCCTTGTACTCTGCTTGCCTGGAGCGTTTCGCTTGAAGGTAGTTGCCTTTGAGATTTTCAGCCTTGGGCTGCCCCTCCCAGCCAATTGCTCAGGCTCTGTGGAGGTTTAGGAAAGTCTGTTTGGATGCCAAGGTAAGGCTCAAGGCTTTCGTGTGCTGCATGCTTGCAAGGTCCATACTGTGCGTGCCGAAGATGAAGACAATTCGCAGTGCTTTCCTTACAGTTTCTCCGGGCTAGACAGAGCTGGGCCTGCTGAGAGGGTTCTGGAATGAGTTTTCTATTTGAGCCTGAGCCTTGGTCCTGTGGCTGCTGGCAAGCTTGGCCCGTAAGAATGAAACAAGTTAAGTGGCAGGCCAAAGCCAAAGGACATGTTTCAGCGGGGCTGCAGAGTTATAGTGTGCCACAAAATTAACATGGAGCCTCAAATTCAGCCCCTACCGCCACACAAACAGATAGTACATGCCGATACACTATGCAGGGAGGAGCTTGTAGCAATTGTAGCAACTCACTTGAACCATCCGGCCTCAGCGTCAAACGAAGTTTACAGGGTTGGGATGCAGGCGGTTGTCAAAGTCTCGGTCCGGCTTGGTGTTATCAGGTCCTGGCTTCTGGCCAACCGGAGTTACACGGTACTGTCACTCGCCGACGATGTCCCTCAGCTGGCCGTGAAAGTTGCCAAGGGCCAAGAGCAGAGCACTTCCGGCTCCTTGTGCACATTGACTTCATTCACGCTCCAGTGAACAACCCTGCGTCACCTCAGATCAAATCTCCGAGGCCCTGAACCAACTTCAAGCCTTGACTCGAGCCGAAGACTATGTGACTGCGCTGGTCGGGCACTGCGGTGTGTATGCGCTTGTTTGCATATGGACGTCCACATGATGGCGCTTTCCGGCATTGAAGAGTGATTTGCTTGGGGAGTACATATCTCCTTTCTCACTGCTGGCTTTTCTCGTCAGCGCCCAGCTTGGCTGGAGGAGAAGCTCGAGCAGAGTGAAGCGCAGCCAGAGGCGGGTTCCTGTCAGTACATGAATATATAGACAAATATGCTGGAGCAGGTGATCCAGTAATCGTCGTACCTTGTGCCCACAACAACTCAGGACCAAGAATCTTCGGAAGAGAAGCCAGAGGCTTGCTTGAGACAGGGCTGCTTCACAAAGTGTTGGCCAGCATGTGCTCTCGTGCGCTCCGTGTGCCAAACCGGTGCTGCGCTGCTGGACGTGCGCAGGCTCAAGGTCCTGCAGCAGCGGCGCGTTTAACTCAGCCATGTTGTCTGGGGATTTTGTGCACTTGTGCCATAGTGCGGCTCGCTTCTGGACCTGCGCACAGCAGCCTTTTTGTAGAACCTTGTTCTAACATTTCTGGCATGGTATGTCGAACAGCAGGGCATAACTCAGGTCGGCAGAAGCAAGAAAAAGAGCATCGGGCTCGGTACACCTTCTGGCCCAGAAACTCATTGAGCACATGCAGCAACAGCACTGCAACAGCAGCAGTAACAGTGCATTCCTGAGGTCGCGGAGCTTGTAGCCCAAAGTCCAACTCAGGACGGGCGATTTAGCGACCGAGATGTTGGGATGTGCTCGTAACCTTTGCACCTGCAGGTTCTGGATCTCATTCGGGCCGAAAAGACGCGATGTGCTTGGGGCTTATTGTGGGGACACCATTCCAAGAAAACTTCGCTTGCTGGTCATGGCACCCTTGCAACCACTGTACCCGCTAAAGCTTGCATCGATTGCTAGATTTAGGCAATTTCTGCGGATCCCGGAGAAGGCGATGCCTCGAATGCCCGATAGCTCAGTCCAGACAGCGAACCAAATGAACAGACCAGCAGCACGGCATAGCACAGAAGAAGTCCATTTTGGTGTCATGCTGTGTTAATATCTGCAAGCATCTGCAAGCCAAAGGAGCAGGCCGTGGATCCTTCAATGCGGGTTGGGGACCTAGATCTTACATGATTTTACAGTGATTAGCCTCCAGGTCGCTGCTTTGCAGAGATTGTGTTCAGAGATGCAGTATCTTCATTTGCCGTTATCATTTGTGGAAATTCCAGGTGCACACCGTCATGATCGTCCGCACCTCATTGGTGATGACAGCTCGCTGTATTGTGACACCAGCTTTCAGTTCAAGAATCCGGAAGATCAGTCAACTGGAGGCTGTGTCCGATGAGATACCATTCGAACTATTTTGGCCAATGGTCAAGGATGACATAGCTCGCCGCCTATGGCGAAAGGGAGGGTTCCCGCGATGCGACAGCTCAAAAGTGTTCTGTGCAAGGTTGGCGCGGTGCGCGAGCTGTGTCCACGTGGAATGCCGGGAATGGCACGCTGCTCATGCTGACACTTGTAATTTGTACTGACGTTTGCAGCACACGTGCAAAAATGACGTGGGCGCAGAAATTAAGCCGGCATTAAACAACTTCCTTGGGCATGGGCACCTTGGGCATGGGCATGCTGCAGGAGGAGGCAGTCCAAGCCGGCGTTGCCAATAACGGTATGGGGCCGATTGCACAGAAGCTCACGCAGCAGGAGGTGCGTCATCTCTGCGCATGCCTTGTGTGCTGAGACTAGCTGACTAGCTGTTTTCGAAAACTCTTGAACTGTTGGCTACAGTGTTGCGCATCTTTCCTTTCTTACTTAGCACATTGTGATATGCCTTAGTTTCCAGAAGATTCCATCCTCATAAAACTTACGCGTTCAAAGGTGAAGCGCTTACATGGCCACCTTGCCAATATCAAGGGGGTTTCCGAGAAAAGCAGCTGTCAAGGTCATTTGAAGTCCTTGCAGCTTCGCAGGCCGAAAACTTGGCGACGCGCGTTGGACACGTGGCCTGCATCCAAGCAAGTGCATGTCCGCCTGCAGAGGTCAAGATTGCAGTCAAGCCCAAGCCTCTAGCCGTTCCCAGTCGGCTGCAAAAGTAAAGATTCCAAGGTGCAGACGGCGGTCACTGTCGACCAGCAGGCGCTCCAGGCAGCTGCATGGTCTTTTCCGCATGTTTGTGTAATCTTCGGCCACTTAGCACTTAGCATTCCCCCTTTCAACACTGCTTTGCTTCCTTTGCTCGTTTGCAGCTTTGGCTTTGTTAGTCTCCGTGTCGACTGGATATTAAAGCAATTAAGGGCGCAGCGCAACTGCACGCCTCACACAGACCCACAAGGAACAGTTATGGACAGTGACTTCGGAGAAATCAATAAGACCTAAACAATCATGATGCCTTGCTCCCGTAGGCAAAACAGGTCCGGCCATTTAATGCAATCAGGTTTGCGGGTGCCCCGCTGTCTCAGACCCTGCAACTGCCTGAAAGCAATGGGGCCCCCCGTGGGTCCGCCTATGTTTGTCTTCAGGAAGCGCAGAAGGAGAAGGCTAAGACCCAGCAGAACGAGCTGAGATCTGAGGATAGGTTTTACATGGTTTCTCACGCTTCAAGACAGTGGATGTCTCAGCTGTAGATGTTTGGTGAGTGAGGCCACTCTCGGGGCTTACAAGCCGCATCCAGTTCTCCCCAAAGGGCGACAAAACCTGGATTCCAGGATCGCCATCGCCTGCCATTTGAATGGGCATTGCATACAGTGCAACCGGGCCTAACGACACATGGGTAGCCCTCTGCAAGGCACAGTTGTTGGACAACTAGGAGAGCGATTCAGCCTTGCCAGAAGCCCGTCTGTAGTCTGTCGTCATGCATGCGTCGAGCCATTGTTTTTGGTGTCAAGTCTGCGTGGGCTTGCGCAGAGAAGAGCGAAGCAAAATCAAAAGATTGCTGATTACATTTGATTGAGGTTGACGACAAGGGAGTTCTGTACGACAAGCTTCCAAGGACACGCATTCGCCTTCCGTGCTTTCCTCAGCAATTTTCGTGATAGTTCTCTGAAGCAGAGCATATTCCAGAAACCCGCAAATCGAGACCAGAATGACCGAGCCAGCACTTTGAATCACTTGGGACCAAGCATCTTGCTACGCTTTTCAAGCGCTGGCTGAGGCCTGGAAAGCGGGACAGCTCGGATCTTGGCTTTTGTGATGCAGTGTTTGTATGTTTGTACATCTCCAGCTCCAGGGTTCGGCACTCGTACTATCCTTTTGCTCCCATGAAGTCCAGAAAGATGAGCAAGCGGAATCATAATTCGTGGTATTGCGTGGAAGCCATGGGCCAGGCACAGGAAGCGCAGGTGGTGCTCCCATCCAAGCAGTTCTCTCACAGGCTGCCGCATTTATGCAGCGTGCTTTCCTCCATACGGATGGTGGCTCCATAGCCGTTTTGATACTTGCAGCGGCAAGGCGGACCTGGTGCGAATCCGCGAGCACTTGCGACGTCGGCAAGAAGAATGGGCCGGATCCGTAGAAGAAGTTTGGCAAAGTGCACGTTTTGCCTAATGAGCGCCAGTGTGTGCTCTCAGTTGCTATATGCACCTTCATTTCCCCCCAACAATAGGGTCACCCAAAAAAATCAAGCTGCCATCCTCAGTAAGGCTCCCGCGGTACGATGACCTGGGTAGGTCGTATTTGGTACTGAGGGCCTGGGCAGGCCCTGCGGGGTATTCTAAGGGGGATGGTCCGCACTCGGTCAGGGCCCAAAAGCAAAACACATTAACAAGACTCGCAAAACAACAAGCTGAAGCGGCAGCCAAAACTCATTGAAGACAGGCTCTTGTTTCAAATGGGTGCAACATCACATGCAGTTGTTCCAGAGGCCATAGACTCCGTCACTGACAAGACGCCTGAGCTGTAAGCTGAGGCGGAGCGCCACGCCCAGGCTACAGGCTCTGGTAACACCGGAACGAGTGGCCGGGGCCCATAAGTACCCAGCACTGCTAGTTATACTTGTTGCGAAGATTCGTTTGACTTCTCGGGGAAAGATTCGACATGTCGGGGTATCCAGATACTACAAGGAAGTTCTACTTGCGGGAGCGCGAATGCCGTTTTTACTGGCAATACATGAAACAGCGGAGAAGGGCAGAAGGAGGACTTCAGCATATCTTAATTGGCTTCACAGCCAAGGCGCGCTGGGCTCTAACAACTGTAAGCTTTGAAGGGTTTCTGATCATTCGCACGTGTGGTCATCAGTGCAATTTGTACAAGTTGGACGACTTCAGTACAAAGAGTAAGACAGGTGACAGTCTTGAAGGACCACCCCATGCTAAGACATGGACGTTCTGGATGTGCTGAGATATCACAAAAAAGTGACCTGCAGCATTGTGTGTGTCAAAGGCACCGGTGGACGAAGCGGCAATGGAGGTGATGAGGCGAGCCCACACAAAAACCATCATCTGTTCAGTGTTCAGATGCCCAACTTTCACTAGCCAAGCCCCCGCAAGGCTGCCGTTACAGGCAGTGAACAGAGGCGCCGTTGCCAACCAGTTGGGGGACTTTGCTATATGAGAAACGCCGCCTGGCATATTAGGGCAACTTGACTTGACAGGACGCCAACATCTTCGCGGCCTACATCTGCGCCGGCTGTGGCAGCAGCTCCCTCGGTCCTGGCAGTGTCAGCATTGTCCTCATTGTGGTGTGGTGGATCTTTGCGGAGTGCGCCACCCAACCACTCGTACTTCAAAGCATTTACTGACCGGCTAGCTCACACCTTCCATTACATATACTCCTTGCGTGGCTGGACAGCGGTCAGCTGTTGTTTGCAAGACACCTGGCTGCTGGACAGGGGCTCCTTGCTGCTTGCTGCTTCCACATTTGAACCATCTCAATGCTGCCGGATGCTGCCACAAGAAAGACCTACGCAAGCATGGCATCTGTGAAAAAGACTCGACGCAGAAAACTATCATCATGAGCTAGAATTGCCAGACCGATCACATGTTCACTATGCTGAGCCTCGCAACATGCGGGTGTGTTTCGGCTGAGCAGAACACGGGCAAACTTGGAAAACATGTCAAACTTGGTTGTTTCGATTCTCAGCTTGAAGCCTGTTTGATTTCGTAAACCATGCTTGAGCCAAAAGATCAGAGTTCTGTATTTGGAGGTTCGCTTTGCTTCTATAAGTTGGGTCTGATCTCGTGGAGCCAGTCTCGTTTGGCTTTGGCTGACACGGCTGCTGTTCCAAGACGGAAGTGTCCCTAGTGAAGCAACAGCACTTCGACGTTGGTCAAAGTAGCTCTGCCGATCGTCGCTGCAGAAAACATGCCTAAGCAAGCTATCACAGGCTTAGCTTTGGCACAGCACAACTGCGGCTGAAGTGCGTCAAGTCAAAGAACTGGCCGTCCCTTGAGTGCTTTCCATTCTGTAATCTACACCGTACCAACAGCCCGAAACCATCCACAAAACCCGCAATTTTGCAGCATCTTTGGATTGCGCACCCGCATCATGGTTAGAGTAATGTCTGACACAAGCTTACGGCCTGGTGCGACTGTTGCGGGATCAGACTGCAACTTTATATGATAATCGTGACAAGCTTTCGGTTTGGCTCGACAGCCTTGCTCACGCTGCGCAAACCAACCTCATTCCCATGGGAGTGTTTTTCACTCATGATTTCCAGTTTGTTGGTTGTCGCCGGTTGGAGGTGTCGGTGTCGCTTTGGTTTACGTCTGAAAGTGCGCTCACGGAAGTGGGCCTGGACTAGAGTGTTGCCTAGAGCGGCTCGGGCGTAAAGCTCAACCTCCAATCTTTAGACTATTGACCTGGCTTTGCCATGTCGCTTCTAAAGGAAGCCGGGCCGAGGCCCTGATACACCGGTCACGGGCTTCCTCAGCACCGTCTATCGATGGCATCCAGCTGAGATGGGCAAGATTACGCAATTTCTGAGCTGCAGCCTGCACAGACTCAGGAGCAGTCCGACGCGGCCCATGTCCAAGACCTGCATAGCCGTGTGCACATGCCAAGTTGACAAAATGCCAAGGAATGAGCATGCTCTCTCGGGAGGGCTCTCTGAGCGAAGTTGATGGCACTGGTGCTTTGGATGTGGCAGTCCCCTAAGCCTTTACTGCGTGGACGGTCAGTGCAGATCTCATCTCCTGCTACCCAAGGTGCAGTTCATGGAAGATGAGGCATCGCGAAATGAAGCTGCTCTTGAGATTGTGTTTATTCAGTGTTTATTCGTGCGTGCGAACATTTTACCTTTCGGGGGCGGGCACATTGCAATCCTCCTGCCCGAAGGGTATTGGTGATGATGACTTCGACGACGTCCGAGCCTTATATGAAAGCCCCTGAGCGATTGTTGCAAGTTTTTTTTGTGGAGCGGCTTGGCGTTCATCAGCCCAAAGCACCAGGACGGGGGCCCCGGAGATGAGGGTGACGAGGATGATGAGGATCTTCCTCCACTAGAGGCTCACGAGGCGACTTGAATTGAAGAAGTCTGCGGTGGGAAGTGCCTGAAGCCCCCAATGGATGGTGGGCGCAGGCAGAGGTCGGCCTTGCTTCACGACTTGGAGCCAGCAGAGGCCAGAGCTCTGGAAACGGGTCAGCTAATTGGCGCGGAATGAGTTACTTAGCCCAAAGCAGCTCGGCTAACGGACCTAGAGCGCTCAACACCGTACTCGATGGCACATCGACCTGCTTCAAGGGTTGGGCTTTTTGCTGCGGCATGCTCAGGAAGCGATGGCGAAAACAGAGAGTTTGGCCTTGGTGAAGCTGGATCCATGGCGAAGCTCCTCAGAGTCTGTGTTGTGATCCGACATTTAGAGAGCACCCTGGAAAATGTGCGATGCGCAGTACAGCATGCATAACGCATCCAGGAGGAGGAGCTGCGGATGCTGGAGCAACTCCGTGCAATGGACGGGGAAGGGTGCAGGGGAGGCATTCAAACAGATCCTGCCGGGACACTGGAACCCGGAGTACATGCGATCCTCCTCCAATGGCAAGGTCTGGTTTGCTAAATGGCAATGCCCCCTGACCTCCTAAAATTTCTGGCAGGGAAGAGTATCATGTGTCTGCGAATGTTTGGAGAGCAGCCCGTGAGGAGCAAATCATCTCAGAGGTTCTA